GGGGCGGCAACTTAACTTACGGGGTGCCCATTACGACTGGACCAGGCCGATCACCCGACTCAGTGCCTTTTTTTTCAGTAGAAGTTTTACGGCGCTCGCAACTGCATACGGTCATATGAGTGCCAAACTCAGTTGGCTGAAACTGAAAACAAACTCGTTTGTTTTTTATGTGACCGAGATGGGATCGGTGGTCGGGCCGAAAACAAACGCGTGTGCTTTTGAGTCGACGAGTCGGGCGCCCGACTCCTCTGTAATGGGCAGCCCGTATGACCAGAACACTGACCTGTTGGCTGTGTAGTCGACATACTCCAGGTGGTTAGGGGTCGCATAGCAGTGGTTGTCCAGATTGCAGATGTACGTCTGTAAGAACGGCACCAGCCCGGCGCTGGGCAAGGCTCGTGCTTGGTAATGGCCTGAAGAAAAATAGTTCAACGTCATAGAGACATTAAGTTCTTTTAGTATGAGTTTTACAGTACTTGCAACACAATATCAGGAAGCTGTTAATTAAAATGTATCAAGCGCAGAGAGCAAAAATTTACAGGAGAGAGAGGGGGGGGGGGACCCTAATTTCATTCATTTAAAACATTTTATATCTTTCTTGCTTTTTTCAACATTTAGAAATTAAATATCAGCTGATATGTTTCTTAAGCACATACAACCGATGCCACAGATTGAGAAACCGCAACTTTAAAAAAAATTATTCAAAATGTTGAGAGTGGTACATTTCAACAGCTGGCAACAAAAAACATGTAGATCTTGGTCATAATATAAGAGCTGAAGATAAGAGCTGTTACTACAACGCAAAAGTATCAAGGTCTACCTGATATATTATTTTTTGCTCGTTTTGAGCTACTCAAAGTCCATTAGATCAGAAATCAATAAATGCTCTATCTGCTCTATCAAAATCGTCAGATTATTCTGAGTCGCTATCAAGATATTCAAAGAATTACATTCCAAAAAGCGTGACATGTGGAACTCGAAGTTTTTTCGTAAAAATACTCAAACTAGGTACTGAGCAGATATAACTTTGTTGGTTTAAAGATAGAAATTTATAATTTTAAGGAGGCGACAAGCACAGAGTAACATATACAGAGAAAGATAGAGGTTTGGGGGGGGG